TAGCGGCAAACATATACACTGACACTAACACTACCAGGGAAACATATACACTGACACCAACACTACCAGGGAAACATATACACTGACACCAACACTAGCAGGGAAAAATAAATATTGACACCAATACTACAAGGGAAACATATACACTGACACCAACACTACCAGGACAACATAAACACTGACACCAACACTAGCAAGGAAACACATACACTGACACCAATACTACAAGGGAAACATATACACTGATACTAACACTACTAGGGAAACATATACACTGACACCAACACTAGCAGGGAAACATATACACTAACACCAACACTAGCGGCAAACATATACACTGACACTAACACTACCAGGGAAACATATACACTGACACCAACACTAGCATGGAAACATATACACTGACATCAACACTACCAGGAAAACATATACACTGACACCAATACTAAAAGGGGAAGATATACAATGACTCCAATACTACCAGGAAAACATATACACTAAAACCAACACTTTCAGGAAATCATATACACTGACACTAACACTAGCAGGAAAAGATATTCACTGACACCAACACTACAAGGGAGACAAAAATATTGACACCAACACTAGCAGGGAAACATATACACAGACACCAACACTACCAGGGAGACATATAAACTGACACCAACATTACAAGGACAACATATATACTGACACCAACACTACAAGGGGAAGATATACAATGACTCCAATACTACCAGGAAAACATATACACTAAAACCAACACTTCCAGGAAATCATATACACTGACACTAACACTAGCAGGAAAACATATTCACTGACACCAACACTACAAGGGAGACAAAAATATTGACACCAACACTAGCAGGGAAACATATAAACTGACACCAACATTACAAGGACAACATATATACTGACACCAACACTACAAGGGAAACATATACACTGACACCAACACTACCAGGGAAACATATACACTGACACCAACACTAGCAGGGAAAAATAAATATTGACACCAATACTACAAGGGAAACATATACACTGACACCAACACTACCAGGGAAACATATAGACTGACACCAACACTAGCAGGGAAACATATACACTGACACCAATACTACAAGGGAAACATATACACTGACACCAATACTAAAAGGGAAACATATACACTGATACTAACACTACTAGGGAAACATATACACTGACACCAACACTAGCAGGGAAACATATACACTAACACCAACACTAGCGGCAAACATATACACTGACACTAACACTACCAGGGAAACATATACACTGACACCAACACTACCAGGGAAACATATACACTGACACCAACACTAGCAGGGAAAAAATAAATATTGACACCAATACTACAAGGGAAACATATACACTGACACCAACACTACCAGGGAAACATATACACTGACACCAACACTAGCAGGGAAACATATACACTGACACCAATACTACAAGGGAAACATATACACTGATACTAACACTACTAGGGAAACATATACACTGACACCAACACTAGCAGGGAAACATATACACTAACACCAACACTAGCGGCAAACATATACACTGACACTAACACTACCAGGGAAACATATACACTGACACCCAACACTAGCATGGAAACATATACACTAACACCAACATTAGCGGGAAACATATACACTGACACCAACACTAGCAGGAAAACATATACACTGACACTAACACTACCAGGAAAACATATACACAGACACCAACACTACCAGATAAATATATACACTGACACCAACACTAGCAGGAAAACATATACACTGACACCAACACTAGCAGGGAAACATATACACTGACACCAACACTAGCAGGGAAACATATACACTAACACCAACACTAGCGGCAAACATATACACTGACACTTACACTACCAGGAAAACATATACACTGACACAAACACTAGAACGGAAACATATACACTAACACCAACATTAGCGGAAAACATATACACTGACACCAACACTAGCAGGAAAACATATACACTGACACTAACACTACCAGGAAAACATATACACTGACACCAACACTACCAGATAAATATATACACTGACACCAACACTAGCAGGAAAACATATACACTGACACTAATACTATCAGGAAAATATATATATTGACACCAACACTATCAGGAAAACATATACACTGACACCAACACTACAAGGGAAACATATATACTGACACCAAAACTACCAGGTAAACATAATACACTGACACCAACACTACCAGGAATACATATACACTGACAACAACACTACCAGGAATACATATACACTGACACCAACACCACCAGGAAAACATATACACTGACAACAAAACACTACCAGGAATACATATACACTGACACCAACACTAGCAGGAAATCATATACACTGACACAAATACTAGCAGGCAACAATATACACTGACACCAACACTACCAGGAAACATATACACTGACACCAACACTAGCAGGGAAACATATATACTGATACCAACACTACCAGGAAAACGTATACACTGACACCAACACTACCAGGAAAACATATACACTGACACCAATACTACAAGGGGAAGATATACACTGACACCAATACTACCAGAAAAACATTAACACTAACACCAACACTACCTGGAAAACATATACACTGACACCAATACTACAAGGGGATGATAAACACTGACACCAATACTACCAGAAAAACATATACACTAAAACCAACACTACCAGGAAATCATATACACTGACACCAACACTAGCAGGAAAACATATACACTGACACCGACACTACAAGGGAGACAAAAATATTGACACCAACACTAGCAGGGAAACATATACACAGACACCAACACTACCAGGGAAACATATATATACACTGACACTTTCAGGAAAACATATTCACTGACACCAATACTACCAAGGAAACATAAAGACTGACACCAACACTACCAGGGAAACCTATATACTGACACCAACACTAGCAGGGAAACATATACACTGACACCAACACTAACAGGGAAAACATATACACTAACATCAACACTAGCGGGAAACATATACACTGACACCAACATTAGCAGGAAAACATATACACTGACACCAACACTACCAGGGAAACATATACACTGACACCAACATTAGCAGGAAAACATATACACTGACACCAACACTACCAGGGAAACATATACACTGACACCAACACTACAAGGGAGACAAAAATATTGACACCAACACTAGCAGGGAAACATATACACAGACACCAACACTACCAGGGAAACATATACACTGACACTTTCAGGAAAACATATTCACTGACACCAATACTACCAAGGAAACATAAAAACTGACACCAACATTACCAGGGAAACCTATATACTGACACCAACACTACCAGGGAAACCTATACACTGACACCAACACTACCAGGGAAACATATACACTGACACCAACACTAGCAGGAAAAAATAAATATTGACACCAACACCACAAGGACAACATATACACTGACACCAACACTAGCAGGAAAAAATAAACATTGACACAAATACTACAAGGGAAACATATACACTGACACTAACACTACCAGGGAAACATATACACTGACACCAACACTAGCAGGGAAACATATACACTAACACCAACACTAGCGGGAAACATATACATTGACACCAACACTAGCAGGAAAACAGATACACTGACACAAACACTAGCAGGAAAACATATACACTGACACCCACACTAGCATGAAAACATATACACTGACACCCACACTACCAGGAAGAAATATTCTCTGACACCAACCCTACCAGGGAAACATATACCCTGACACCAACACTAGCAGGAAAACATATACACAGACAACAACACTAGCAGGAAAACATATACACTGACACCAACACTAGCAGGAAAATATATATATTGACACCAATACTAAAAGGGGAAGATATACACTGATACTAACATTACCAGGGAAACATATACACTGACACCAACACTACCAGGAAAACATATACACTGACACCAACACTAACAGGAAGACATATTCACTGACACCAACACTAGCAGGGAAACATATACACTGACACCAATACTACAAGGGGAAGATATACACTGACTCCAATACTACCAAGAAAACATATACACTAACACCAACACTACCAGGAAAACATATACACTGACACCAACACTACCAGGAAAACATATACACTGACACCAACACTACCAGGAAAACATATACACTGACACCAACACTACCAGCAAAACATATACACTGACACCAACACTTACAGGAAAACATATACACTGACACCAACACTAGCCTGGAAACATATACACTGACACCAACACTGGCAGGGAAACATTTACACTGACACCAACACTTCCAGAAAAACATATACACTGACACCAACACTACCAGGAAAACATATACACTAACACCAACACTGCCAGGAAAACATATACACTGACACCAACACTGCCAGGAAAACATATATACTTACACCAACATTACCAGGTAGACAAATATATTGACACCATCACTTTCAGTTAAGTCGAGAATTAACAGGCGCGGAGCGAAAAGTCGCTAATTAGCGTGGGCGCGGGCGAAGTTTAATAAATAAAACTTAATAATTACATCATAGTACGTTGCCAGTGTAACGACGTTGGTAGAACAATGACAATGAGCATGATAATATGCAAATACTCAAGTTGTTGAATTAACATAAGGGAATGTTTCCCGTATATAAGGAGACAGACCACTCTCGGCGGTGAGCTAGCTTTTCACCGACAGGGTTTGTGTGCCTTAAAAAACGTTACAAATGGTGGCCGGTGTGGGGGATGTAGACAACTGCCGGACTGGAGTTGCCGTACCCAAAGATTTCCCAGGTCAAGTCTCGGGACGAGACTTCTCGGAGGAGAAAGTAATGTAACGACGTTGGTAGAACAATGACAATGAGCATGATAATATGCAAATACTAAACACCGTGGGTAAGCAATTTTGGTCACGTGACCCCAAAAGTCAACGTACACGGCCACAATGAGCCAAAATAGCTCGGCTAAGGTAAGTTTTTTTGTAATTATTTTTCTATCGAGTCATTTTAAATAATGCAACATAGCCTACCGACCGCGGCATTTCCGATGCTTTCTAAATATGCATTTGGTGTCGTGTAACGTTTTGTATTTTCTGAGAACATTCAAACATTATTCACAAATTTGTCGATGACAACGTGCACACTTTTGTGTAAAAATGTTGATAATAACATTATAAACGATACGCATGTCAGTGCTAAGTAAAATTTTACGTTTTGAAATGTATAAGAGAATGTTTGAATGTAAAAAGAATAGATTTCCTGCTGTCGTTTTTTCGTATTGATCTAAAAATGTTCAACTTACAGAAATGTCAACGTACACATTCAGTCAAGAAAATGTCAACGTACACACTCAAAATTTATTTTAATATTGATCCAAACATTAGATTGAATCTTTGGTGTAGGTGGCTTTTTACAAACAAAAGTTGGCCTTTTATGTAGACTGCCCTCTCGTACTGTATACCAGTACTGGTTTATACAAAAGAAACAGTTTCGAGTGCATTTATTTCATCGCAGATACGCTTAAACAAGTTTTAACTTTTTAATGTTATTTATTTGTTATTTTCTTTTTCAGACAAAAATATTTGGAGATACTCACACTAATAAATGATTTGCTGAACAACCACATTCTGAACAAGGTTTGTATATTTTTTAGACTGTATTAAAATAGATAATATTACAGTCATTTAATAACGTAAAAGCGAGGATTAGCGACTAGCGGCTTCCGTAGCATCAAAAGGGTCGAAAGATTGACGATGAAACCGGGTTACAATTTACTGACTTTTAAATTGAATATGTTTGGGTTTTTTATTAAAGAATTTGTTTGCAAATTTAAAACACATGACGTATTCATTTGATGTCATTTAGTGTATAATTATTTCATAAATTGTTTACAATCAGCTTCAGAATCTGCCTCTTGTGTAAAACATCAAACTAAAGTTCTAATAATTATCGAGGTTTCTTTCGTTTATCATTGTCTTATGAGCATTTATACAGTGAACAAAACATAAAGACATTATCACTAACTAAAAGCACATAACCACTCAATACTGAGAACATGCACATAATCTTAAAGAGTGTACATGTATATCCTCTAATACTTTATTTTTGACATATCTACTTTTACTAGTGAATTTAATGCTTTTGCAGGGATCATCCATTTGATAGCGAAGAACGGGCATGCACCGATAAAAGGGCAATATACGGAACAGTGTCCACAAACAGAAATGCAGTACAGGGTGCGATGGGAGGGAGCTCGTAGAAATGAGTCTAAAATACTTTTAAGTGACAAAATGGGACTTACTTGAATAACTTCAAATTGCATTGTAGCCCAATAATATGTTATTTCTTTGGGATTTATTTGCGGTTATTTAGCTACAAAAATGTCTTGTCTAAAGTAATATATTATTGTAAAGAAAATAAAATCTTGTTCTTTTAACTTTTTATTGAAACCAGTTCTTACTGCATAAATAACTATAATTATGTAAATAAAATAAATTTTATCATCATAACCATCAGCGCTGACGTTTACATTTAAAACTTTTAGACACACACACGCACGCACGTACGCACACATATATATCATATTGACATAGACTATGAACACACACATATATATATTGACATAGACTATGAACATTTGAAATTCAAGCAAAATTATTTGTTATATAAAATCATACTTAAAATATAATATATAACAAATAATTTTGCTTGAAGTTCAAATGTTCAATGCAGACGCTGATACATAATCACAGACAATTTGATAAAGGTGTAAAAATAACATAAAAATGTAAATAAAATGAAATAGAAAACAGATCGGTGAAATAATACTGGATTTCGAGATACGCATGCTAATTAGCATAAATAATAACGTTCATTAGTCGCTTAACAAAATAAACAAAAGAATTATAAACACATTTAAATTATCAAATACATTGCCTATACGTTGTTTTAATCGCTAGCTAGCCTAAAAGTGTATGCTAAACACAATCAAAATAGTCCTTGAAGATACTTTAATCTTAAGCATCATGCTTTTTCTTAAGATGCCTAGATAAACTAGACCTATGTCGATACACCCTTTTGCAATATTTGCAGCTGATGTTTGCAACGGCTTCATGCGAATGAAGATGTTCTTGCAAGTTTGATTTTTCCGACAACTTTAATCTACATATATCGCATTCAAACTGCTTAGCTTTTGTCTCGGTGCGCAAGTGGCGTGCCAGGTCGGCGTTTGTGGCAAACTTCTTCTCACAATTGGGACAGGAGTGCAACCTTTCCTCGCCGTGTTTGCTGCATCTAAATAAAAAGTGTCGTAATTGAACTAGATTGTTGTCGATGCACGTTGTTTTGCGTTATATATCAGTAATCGAATTTGTACAAAGTAAATAAATCATTAAGACGGTATTTGTCGTCAACAATCACCTAACAGCAAGTGAATTACGTATGCTGATAAGTCATTCATTCAAGTTGAAATTAATAAAAATACAAAGTAATAAAAAGAAATAGAACAGTTCAGTGTAACAGTTTTATTTGGACGAAGATTCCATAAAATCAAAAAAGTTTTTACCTGTGGCGCGTAAGATTTGCCTTGCTAAAGAACAGTTTGCCACAGCAAGAAGTACCCGAACCAGATTTATTGTGCCGACGTTCATGTTGGCGGGCACTTGCTTTGCACGAGAACGTCCTCCCGCACACTCCACAAAGCCATTGAGTCTGAAATTGACAAACATATGTAATGCAACTTACCACTTCAAGAAAATGAAGTAAAGTTTGATTTGTACATGTATTTCAGAAACAAAGTTTTGAAACTGCTAGGCGTTGTTCAAATTATAAGATCCCGTTTTGAATATTGACTGGTTTTCTGTGCATTATCATGTGGTTCGGAACTGAAAATCAAGATATTGAAAGAGGCACTTTCTTCGCGGGTTCAATGTCATAGTTTTCCTAATCCGTATCACATGGTATTGCACAGAAAATCCGTTTTGTTTGCTTACTATGGTATCCATAAAACAAATGAAATAAATTTACGACCATTAATTTAGTTTAAGATAAACGCATTTTGGACAGAAATGATCAATCCTATTGATCGCTTAATTTCTGGAAAACTGCAATAAAACGATTTTTACTGTACACTTTTCTAGAAAGTGTTTAAAATCATCTGAATCAGTGCAGTGGACATGCGCCAATCAGCTATTTAAAGATCACATTTAATAATGTCGAAAAAGCTCCCTTACACAGCCATGCCGTTTGTTTTCGAATAGATCTTTTTAACTAAAAAGTTTGAGTTGACTTGGATGTGTACGTTGACATTTTCTTGACTGAATGTGTACGTTGACATTTCTGTAAGTTGAACATTTTTAGATCAATACGAAAAAACGACAGCAGGAAATCTATTCTTTTTACATTCAAACATTCTCTTATACATTTTAAAACGTGAAATTTTACTTAGCACTGACATGCGTATCGTTTATAATGTTATTATCAACATTTTTACACAAAAGTGTGCACGTTGTCATCGACAAATTTGTGAATAATGTTTGAATGTTCTCAGAAAATACAAAACGTTACACGACACCAAATGCATATTTAGAAAGCATCGGAAATGCCGCGGTCGGTAGGCTATGTAGCATTATTTAAAATGACTCGATAGAAAAATAATTACAAAAAAACTTACCTTAGCCGAGCTATTTTGGCTCATTTTGGCCGTGTACGTTGACTTTTGGGGTCACGTGACCAAAATTGCTTACCCACGGTGCTAAAGTTGTTGAATTAACATAAGGGAATGTTTCCCGTATAAAAGGATACAAACCACTCTCGGTGGTGAGCTAGCTTTTCACCGACATGGTTTGTGTGCCTTAAGAAACGTTACACCAGTTACTGGTGGACTTCTTCAATATATAGAAGATATTGATCGAGTGTAGGTTCAATACTGAATTTACTGAACGAGTTGAATGAAATTATAATATGCGAGCCTCTTTCCAAAATAAGAACTGTTTACATTAAAAAATAATCACTTTTTCATTGACGCTTAAAGTGTAACGATATCATTTAACGCGTCCTAACCTTATGTTTGTATAACGTAAATGACGTCACATGCAATACCATTTTCACGGAGTCGCAAAATCATCATGTGTGTGTGATAAAAATTGTTATAAGCCAGCCAGTATTTATTGAAGATCATTTCGTAGTCTGGACCAAGTTTTAGTTTAAAAGGCCTTTACTGTTTAAACTCAACTGGAAGAGCGTTGAACTGTGAATCGGTCGACCCGGGTTCGAAGGTCACTTCCGTTGCAACTGATTAAATCCTTTCTACAGTCATTTGGTAAGCTGCTTGACATCCCAACAAATAACGATGCAAGGGCTGACATGTGCTCTGGTGAATTTATAGCGGCCTACGGCGTAACCTACCAGAGCCACCGCCGGGTGGGTACAACACTCGACATTTTTTACTTTTTCTACTAGCAAACAAACGGTTTAAACATATCTTTAAAAAAAGAAGTTATCCCCTTTTTTAGTCTAGATACATTTGTTGTTTTGTCCAAGTATGAATCCTTTCCATAAATAAATGACAAAGAAAAATATATTAATCAAAATTCAATACTAGTAATTTGACGGTCAATGTCATTTAAAGGTCAAGGTCAGTTCAACCTTTAAAAAATGTCTTGTCCAAAAGTTTGTTTTGTCAGAGTATGAAACAAAAAAATCAATTGATTAATTACAAAGTTACAGCCAATTATGGCGATATCAGTCAAAACAAGAGATGTTTGCACAGAATGTATGCCCCCTATCGGCAGCCAATTAGTCATGTGGTCTGGTTATTGTGACTGACTTTTGACCTAGTGATCAAAAAATCAATAGGGGTTATCTACCGGCCATGACTAGTCACAAGGAATCGTGATCGTAAAGGTTGTGTGCAGCAATTTTATGACAAAGTTATTAAAATCTTACCAAATAATATATGTACATGTATAAATATTATGAATCATGTAGGCCTCCTTAACGACAGCCAATTTGTTATATTACATTAGACCTTGAAATGTGTATACCAAAAGCATTTTTAGTTTAATAAATAAAATCAACCAAGGCAACTTGAGTTCGGAAACCTTTTAAGGTACAGTAAATGTGACTTTGACCTTTGATCCTTAAATCAATAGGGGTTATCTACTGGCCAAAACCAATGCACCTGTCAAGTTTGAAGGCAAATGGCTTATGAGTTGTTGAGATATTGATCAGAAAGAGTTTTACCTTTAAGGTCAATATTATCTTGACCTCTGACCTCTTGACATCTGACCTATTCGACCCAAAAATCCATTGAGGTCATCTTCTGTCCAAAAGCAATGCATTTATAAAGTTTGTAGGTCAAGGGTCCATGGGTTGTCCAGTTATCAATAGGGCAAGACCAATCCATCTATGCAGTTTGAGGGCCAAGGGCCCATGGGTCAAGTTATTGATCGGAAACGAATTTTACCTACAAGGTCAATATGACCTTGACCTTTGACGCCAAAATCGATAGGGATCATCTACCTGCCAAGACCAATCGACCTTCGAAATTTGAGGGCAAACAGCCCGTGCATTGTCAAGTTATTGAACGGAAACTGTTTTTACCTACAAGGTCAATGTGACCTTGACATTTGACCCCAAACTCAATAGGGGTCATACTACCAAGACAAATGCACTTACGAAGTTTGAGGGCCATATGCTCATGGCTTGTCAAGTAATTGATTGGAAACCGTTTTTACCTACAAGGTTAACGTGACATTAATCTCTTTACCCCAAAATCATTAGGGATCATCTACTGGTCATGAGCAATCCTCATTTCAAATTTGAAGGTCCAAGACATAAGCGTTCTTAAGTTATTGATCGGCAACTGTTGTTACCTTCAAGGTCAATGTGACCTTGTTCCGGAGAGTTTCTAAAAAATCTTTTCAAGCTCCCTACTCAATACGTACAATTTATTATTTGTCGCTTAATAAAATCACTGGAGTTCGGATGTGAGGAATTTTATCACGAGGGCGTAGCCCCGGTGATATAATGATGCGCATCCGAACAACAGTGACTTTATCAAGCGATAAAATCACCGATTTGGATATATTATTTCCATTCAAACACGTAATCAACAATTGATTGTTGTCTTTCTTGATATTACGCGTACTTATTTACAGCGCGTCGCATTTTAAGTGGTTATCTATAAAGATTTGAAAAATCCTCGTCGGTGATTGGCTTAAAAAAATTGGCGAGCACTAGTTATAATTCTAACATGACCCGCATTTTTCCCGAACCGAAAATGTGTGTTATTATGCAATAAAATCACAGTTGACATATTTATTTAGATATGTGACGTAATCATTAAACATGTGACGTAACCACTAAAAATGCGACGCGCTGTAAATAAGTACGCGTAATATCAAGAAAGACAACAATCATTGATTACGTGTTAGAATCGAAATAATATATCCAAATCGGTTGGAGTGCATATTGGATGTTCTTCGTAAATAAGAAAGCTACAGTCGCTTCGCAAGCTCCGCTCCTTTTTAGCTTTCTTATTTACGAAGAACACCCAATATGCACTCTAACCTATACATAAAATTTGTTTAAACTAATGCGACCTTGACCTCTGACCAGTCATCTACTTGCCAAGACAAATGCACCTTTGAAGTTCCTAGGCCTAAGCGACTGCTTTAACCTACAAGGTCAATGTGACCTTGGCCCCTTAACCCCAAAATCATTAGGGGTTATCTCCTGTCCTGGTCATGAACAATCCTCATACCAAGTTTGAAGTTCCTAGGCCGAAGCCAACTATAGTTATTGATCGGAAACCATTAAGTCCAGACAAAAGCAAATCAATATACCCACACTTCTTTGAAGGGGGCATATCAAAATAATTCGACCTTCAAGGTCAAACATGAGTCAACGTCAATAGATGTTATCTGGCTCTTGGCAAATCCCCCGGTGCAAACAATCTTTTACAATTATTACTACCGGTCACAAAAGATTAGTCAAGCTGTTGCGCTTATTTTTGAAGCTTTAACTAAGTTTGTTTGTACACGCAGATTAGCTGGGAAAAACCCACCATTTTCTCTATTCCAGAGTAAGTCTTTTTAAAGAAGAAAAAAAAACAAAGAGAATTTCATTAATTTGACATTGACAGTCAAGGTCAATTTGATGTCAAGATCACATCTAAATTATTCAATATGTTTATTTGGTAGTAAGTCTTATTTTGTCCAAGTTTAAATCAAATAAATAACAAAATCCTGACAATTTAACCAAAATTCAATAACTGACTTTGAGGGTGAAGTTCAACCTTTTAGGACTTGTCCAAATATTGTTTTGACAAAGTATGAAGATAATTCATTTATTAATTACCAAGTTACAGAAAACGGTGAAAATTCAATAATTTAACTGTCAAGGTCAAGGTAAAAAAAGCAATGGTCAAATTGAGTTTAATATACATAAAGATCTCATCATAAAGAATGTTCCGATATCATTTAAAGTCAATTCAATAATAACTTTAGATCTACATTGTATATAGCAAGTTACAGCAAAAAAATTAACAAAGTTATAGCCACTTTCAGCAAAAAAAAACAAGAACTGTCGGAGGACAGTAACGCTAGACTATTCAAAAAGTTGTCACAAGGGTGTTTCATTGAGTATAATAATGCTTACCTATATGAATACATAAAATTGTCCAAAAAGGTACAAACCCTTCAAGTTTCAATACATTCCCTTCAGTAGTTATGGAGATACCAGCTTACACGAAAAAACTTAACCAAGAATTTCTAAGTCGAAAAAGGGGCATAATTATGTAAAAAAGCAAATCAGAGTTATGGGGCTTGTGCAAATCATCTTAGATAATCACAGAGAACAAGTGTGTGAAGTTTCAATCCATTCCCTTCAGTAGTTATGGAGATACCAGCTTACATACAAAAACTTAACCAAGAATTTCTAAGTCGAAAAAGGGGCATAATTATGAAAAAAAGCAAATCAGAGTTATGGGACTTGTGCCAATCATCTTAGATAATCACAGAGAACAAGTGTGTGAAGTTTCAATCCATTCCCTTCAGTAGTTATGGAGATACCAGCTTACATACAAAAACTTAACCACAGGGACACCGACAAATGGGCGACTGCATTAGCTCGATTATTCTGTGAATAGTCCAGCTAAAAATGAGCAAAATTTAGACATTGGAGGTCAAGGTCATTTATGAATGAAGGTCTAGGTCTGTCTGGTTGTCTTGAATGTCTATCCTAAAGATTATTATGCTCAAGTTTGAAGACAATCCATTAAAAAACAAGCATTTGATAGTATTGCGGGCAATACAGTAGTCCCCTACCGGTCCCTCAAAAAGTTCTTTAATTGTCATACACTCCTGTGTATTGCCATTTATAATGAATTTGAGGATGAAGTCTGTATTTGAAAATATCAACCACAAAACATAATAAAATAAGTTTGTCTATATCACAGTAATGTGTTAAGTTTCCATGCTTAGTAAGGAAATTATGTTTATAAAACCTTGTCATATTATTACGATATGGGATTTTAAAGTAAATCCTATAAGGAATGAAGAAGTTGGAGTGAAAATACCAGTTTCTCAAAAAAAAATCTAAGTTAAAGGGGACATAATTCTGGAAATAGTCTTGCTAGAGTATTTAACCTTCTCAAAAATGTTGACGAGTGATAATAAGAAACATATATATGAAGTTTGAAGTAGATACATTAGGAAATAAAGAAGTTATTTAAAAAAAGACAACATTTTTTCCCCTAAAAATCTAAGTTCAAGGGAGGTAATACTGAATATTTTTTGTGCTAGAGTTATAAAACCTTGTCACATATGATGTGGTTGATGACCAGAAACTTATATTTAAAGTTTGAAGTAAACACCTTAAGAAATAAAGAACATATAGTGAAAAAGCTGAAAATTTTTAAATCAGAAATCTTGAAATTCAGGCTATTTGTTTGCCATAGCAACCAGAATTTTCAACATAGGAAGAAAAGAAAAAGATGTGCATAATCTTCCAGACTGCCATCTACCCATATTTCAAGTTTCATAAAAATATTTTTCAGTACTTTTTTGAGTTATCACTGGATCCAGTTTATGTGTTAAATTTGCCATATTTTTCAGACTATTTGTTAATATTTAAAAAATCTAAGTTTAAAGGGGACATAATTCTGGAAATAGTCTTGCTAGAGTATTTAACCTTCTCAAAAATGTCGAGTGATTTATATAAGAAACATATATATGAAGTTTGAAAGTAGATACATTAGGAAATAAAGAAGTTATTTAAAAAAGACAACATTTTTTCCCCTAAAAAATCTAAGTTCAAGGGAGGTAATACTGATATTTTTTGTGCTAGAGTTATAAACCTTTGTCACATATGATGTGGTTGATGACCAGAAACTTATATTTAAAGTTTTGAAGTAAACACCTTAAAAAATAATAAAGAACATATAGTGAAAAAGCTGAAAAATTTAAATCAGAAATCTTGAAATTCAGGCTATTTGTTGCATAGCAACCAGAAATTTTCAACATAGGAAGAAAAGAAAAAAGATGTGCATAATCTCCAGACTGCCATCTACCCATATTTTCAAGTTTTCATAAAAATTTTTTTCAGTACTTTTTGAGTTATCACTGGATCCAGTTTATGTGTTAAATTTGCCATATTTTCAGACTATTTGTTGCCATAGCAACCAGAATTTTCAACATAGGAAGAAAAAAAAAAAAAAAAGACGTGCATAATCTCCATACTGCCATCTATCCATTATATCAAGTTTCATAAAAATATTTTTCAGTACTTTTTTGCGTTATTGCGGGATCCAGTTTTTGTGGACGGACGGACTGACAGACAGACAGACAGACGGTACGGACGGTAAACCTAAAGTCCCCTCCGGTTAAAACCGGTAGGGACTAATAAAGCTTTAGCCACTAATAGCAAAATTTAAAAAAATTTGACCCTTTGAATGTCAAGTTCATTAATGAATGATGGTCAAGGTTAGTCTGGTCTAATAAAAGTTCTTTTGTGACCAAGTATGAAGACAATACACCAAGAACTTAAAATGATCAGAACTGCAATACTCCCCCCCCCCCCCCCCCCCCCCCCCCCCCCCCCCCCAAAAAAAGTTTGACCTAAATCAACTACCATTTTGTTCACTTAAGTTAACACATTACCAGTTCAACATTTATCAATCAACTGGTTGAGTGAATTTTTCTCTTGAAAATTTTGCTCTGTCTGTTCGAATTATATTTTTAACAATTTCAATCAATGAAATATCAACTAATAAGCCAACGATACAGTACAAATCCTTCTGTCATTTATATCATATATGTATAATGTTCTATCATTTTATCAACTTCTGTCTTAAAATGTACCAAGTGGAGGCACTGGTAGCTATATTGGGAAAGAGCTTAACTATCCTCCACAGCAGAATTAAGGTAACTGACTCAACAAATTGTCCTCATCCAAAGACTTTGGGTTCGAATCCCGCCAGTCAAACTGTGTGCATGATACCAAGCTTTCTCTAAGTCATTGGTTCTGCTAAAGGTCCTGCTTGTGCCTGAAAAAATGCAGAGCGGCACCTGGGGTCTTCCTCCAACAATAAAACTGGTTAAGCCGTCATTACCTTATATTTTGTGAATGATTCTCAACCTATTGGACATTATTCGCTCTATGTTCTACTTAAGATAATTTCATCATAATTGTCAATCTCGTCACTTTTCCTGACATTTTCTTAAAATGAACTATCTCGGCATTTTAGCAATGTAACAAATGTATGCAGACAATTCAGTGTTCTTGAACCAATCATATTTCGCCCAGATGAAATGTTTAAGCCATCATGAGTAGGGCGGGTGATAACGTTACGATTGGTCACCGCGAATGGTTTCTACAAATTTTTCATTATATCTTTCAATATTTAAAATTTGGATCTTTACGTGTACTTGTACTTAAAGAGGCTGTTCCTCTAGCTAATATAGTACCTGGAAAAATTTAAAACCGGTATATCACCATCAGTAATTTTATATGCAAAAGAGAGTGACGCAAATAAGCAAAACGTTTCATGTTCATATTGTTCTTTATTAATCGGTATGAGACGTAACCTTCCAACAATGAATGTCAATGATTATGAAATATTAGGTAAAAAGTATTACATTAATATTGCACATGTATTCAGTTTCTTTCACTACAACTGGTTAAAAAATTAATATCATATCAAAGTAACAATAGTTGTTTTAAAACTGAACAGTTTTACCTCAGAGATGCTAATACATTTGTTTTAGAGGCTTATTATTATTTGACGAAATGTATTAGAATATTATGGCTGCTAAAAAGTCATTTGAAAGTTAGTACATTTAGGCTTCTTCACCCTCGTCTTCCTCCTCGTCAAACTCGCCCTCTTCTTCCGCTGTGGCATCTTGGTACTGCTGGTATTCAGAGACCAAGTCGTTCATGTTAGATTCTGCCTCGGTAAACTCCATCTCGTCCATACCTTCACCAGTATACCAATGTAAGAAAGCCTTACGACGGAACATAGCGGTGAACTGTTCAGAGATACGCTTGAACAATTCTTGGATGGCGGTACTGTTACCAATGAAGGTGGCAGACATCTTAAGACCACGTGGTGGGATATCACAAACAGCTGTCTTGACATTGTTAGGAATCCATTCAACGAAGTAACTGCTGTTCTTGTTCTGGACGTTCATCATCTGTTCATCGACTTCTTTCATGGACATACGTCCTCTGAAAATGGCAGCGACTGTCAAGTAACGTCCATGACGTGGGTCACAGGCGGCCATCATGTTCTTGGAGTCGAACATCTGCTGAGTGAGTTCTGGGACAGTGACTGATCTGTATTGTTGACTACCACGTGATGTAAGAGGTGCGAAACCTGGCATGAAAAAGTGAAGACGTGGGAAGGGAACCATGTTGACGGCCAATTTACGGAGATCTGCGTTCAACTGACCAGGGAATCGAAGACAAGTGGTAACACCGGACATTGTAGCCGATACAAGATGGTTCAAGTCACCATATGTGGGAGTGGTCAATTTCAAAGTTCTGAAACAGATGTCGTAGAGAGCCTCGTTGTCAATACAGTAGGTCTCGTCTGTGTTCTCGACTAGTTGATGGACTGACAATGTGGCGTTATATGGTTCTACAACTGTGTCTGAGACCTGAAATAATAACAATCCATCATGTACATAATTCTGTAGAGGAAATCAAAAACATATACAGACACAATAAAAAAATCCTACAAGAGATTTATTGCTTAAAAACAGAAAGTAGGTAAATGAGTTAAGTTTAAGGTTATCCCACGCCAAAATCTATTCTATACACATGACTGTACACTCGGTCTTTACCTGAAGGCTACAGAACCATTCAAGGTCCAAGTTTATCCAGAAATTTTAACTCTTAGGGTCACTTATTACATAATATTTTAACTATCTTATCCAAATTTTTACTATCCTGTAGGTTCCGAGAAAGAGGTCTTTTTAAAAGTTTTTTTTTTTTTTCCATATAAAACTCGTCTGACCTAAAGGATATTATTTGGAAATTTTTTAGAAGATGTCTACTTTAAATGCTAAACATAATATTAAAGCTCAAGGCTTTGTGTTTTCTCAGAAAAAGACTTATAGATTTCATTTTTTCTGTGACTCATATATTCAAGAAACCACCAATAGACTATGATGCAACCAAATGATTATTTATCTGATTGAGGTTAGCAATTTTACTTCGATTAGAAAAGTCCTATTTCAGTAATGTATTCAATAGAAGAACTGGTTGAACCGGGTGATTCTACCCAAAAAGGGTTTGGACACAGAAAAATATACATCGTGTAGGTTCAGAGTTATGTCCCAGACAAAGTTCAAAGTGCAATAATTCCAAACTCAGGCAAGACAGAGTTACTGTATTTGCACTGCTTATCTACCCAATAATATCCATCTGCCTACAAAGTTTCTTGTTCATATCTCTTATAGTGTCAAGAGTTTTTATGTCCCAGACAAAGTCCAAAATGTAAATATGAACAAAGAGCAATATATCCAAAATTAGGAAAGGCAGAATTATGGTTCATGTGCACTGATCTACCAATGAGATCTCAACTCCTCAGAGATTACCCCCCTTGGCAGAATTGTAATCACTGCCTTCACAGACGTCACATGATGATGAGTCACATGACGTAGCGTCTAAATTCAAATGTAAATATTGACCATTACATAGAAAATCTAACGTCATTTTTCTCTTTCTGTTTTATTTTTAACATTTTGTACCTTCGTCCGTTATATTTTATCATAAAATTATCAAAAGTATACAAATTAATAAAAAATCATTTAAAAAGCTAATAAAAAGTATAAATATCAAAATATTGATATTTAAATGTTTGTGATGGCAGAAATCTTTGTACTAATAAGGGGAGATCACTACGTAGGAGATTGATGAGATCTAACTACCTACAAAGTTTTATGTTGATATCTCTTCTAGATTTTGAGTTATGTCCCGGTAAATGTTCAAAGTATAAAAAAGAACAAAGGGCAATAACTCGAAAATTAGGCAAGGCAGAGTTACAGTTCTTGTGCAATGCACATCTACCCAATGAGATCTATTCTACCTACAAAGTTTCATGTTGATACCTCTTGTTGTTACAGAGTAATGTCCCAGACAAGAAAAGCGGACAGACGACCAAAGTGTAGACTATATGCTCACCCTACAGGGCAAACTCCTCACAGTGATAACCTCCCTTGGCAGAATTGTAATCACTGCCTTCAAAGACGTCACATGATGATGAAAGTCACATGACGTAACGTCGAAATTCAAATGTAAATATCGACCGTTACAAAGAAAATCTAACGTTATTTTTCTCTTGCTGTTTTATTTTTAACTTTTGGTGCCTACGTTCGATATAGTTTATCAAAAAAAGTATCGAAAGTATACAAAATAACGAAAATTAAATTCAAAAGCTAAAATATATAAAATATCAAAATATCGTCTCGCTAGAAAATAATCTCATAATTTTTTTAAATTATTTCTAAATATTCATATTATTTATTTATTTATTCATAAACATTGTTAAATAAATGAGAGAAAACTTATCTGATACATAAAAGCAGTAGATAAAACAATTTTTGAAAAAATATAGTATATCAGAAATTCTGATATATCGGGACCTTGGTGGCAGAGATCTACGCAGAAGAATTAAGGGGAGATCACTGTGTGGAGATTGCCTTCAGGGAGCATGAAAATGAACAATTTCCCAGTGCAACATTATCTCATCAAGTTACTAAAAAATCTAAAACATTAATAACTTACCTTAGGAGAGGGAACAACTGAGAAAGAGAGCATGATTCTGTCGGGGTATTCTTCACGGATCTTGCTGATGAGAAGAGTTCCCATACCGGAGCCGGTACCACCACCAAGAGAGTGTGTGAGTTGGAAACCCTGGAGGCAATCACAGTTTTCTGATTCTTTCCGTACTACATCCATGACCGAGTCAACCAGCTCAGCTCCCTCTGTGTAGTGACCCTTGGCCCAGTTGTTTCCAGCACCACTCTGACCAAAAACAAAGTTGTCGGGTCTGAAGACCTGACCAAATGGTCCAGACCTCACAGAGTCCATGGTTCCGGGCTCCAGATCGACCAGAACTGCACGGGGTACATATTTACCACCTATAAAATATTTACATAAATGCATTGTAATATTTAAATTGATAAGACAGTTTTTATGAACAATGTAAGACATGAATGAAGAAGTCATGAGGGAATAAAAAGAAAATGACATTCAATTTATTCAGGTAAATTGGAATGTTGCAGGCCTTATCACCATTTAAGGCTCCACTTCACAATAAATCACTGCATCTGTGATAAAAGTTGTGTACTTAATTGTTGAATTAGTGCAATACAAATTTGACCTAGGTTCAAGGTATTTCAAAATAAAAATACAATGTACAATATTGAGCTGACAACACTGCAGAGCCAGGACAAATGGCACAGAATGATGTTTAGACTGGCCTACCGTTCCTTACTGGTGACAAAACTATGTAATTCCTTTCTATTTAAGCAAATTAAGTGTAAATAACTGAATCACATAAGTACATGTATATTATATACTGCTTTCCTAAACAATGTGGAGAGATTTACCTCCCTTTGATATCAATAAAGTATAAGAATAACCCCAGGAATCAAGTTCATATACATTAAGGTGCAACATATTTTCTATGAGTCAATGTAAACACTTATGTTATATGTGTGTAACATACTGCAGACTTGTGAGTCATAACCAGCTAGGTACAGATCATAGCTCTATCGATTAATCTATGGATACATGAATAGTAAACTTGTTTACTGACACTGCCCTGGCTAAGAGACCCCCTGCTAGCAGATATAATTTAACAGGGTTTAAACAGGGTATGATGAAGTTAAATGTTCATATATCTTATTAACTGAAAAGTTTTCTTGTAGCCAAAAAAACAACAAAAAACAATGTATGAATAAAATAAATACAATGGACAATTACGAATAACTCAAAAAAACTTTAAAAAAAAATAATATACTTCAGCAAAACATTTCCTCTCTATGTAGTCGAACCATCAATGAAGTTTCAAAATACCCAGTCTAATTATTGAGCTTTGCTCGGTGAATAAGTACAAAAGGCAATATATCAAATATTACGCAGAAGATTGATACAATTCACAAAGACACAGACATTGCATTAGTGATTTCCTGCTTATATAAAAGGCCTCTTCCCAATTGAAATTTTCTTCAAAATCATGCAGTTTTCCCAAAAATCTGAACTAAAACCTGCTTTTTTACTTCCAAAATTAGCAATATTTGCGATAATTTTTCCCAAACTCAAGAGGCTAAGGCCTTTTCCCAATTAAGGGAGAAAAATCACTGTCTTAACAATAAGATCTTCAACATTTCAAGTTGATACTTCCTTTACTTGTTGAGTTATACATGTACTCCAGAAAAAAATTATGTATGAAAAAGACAAAAAAAAGAACGGGAATTAAAAAATTTCGCGAAAGAAAGTCAAGATTTATCAACATCGCACATCTTCATTATAAGATCAATCCATCTCAAAGTGAAGTGTCAAACTTCTTATACTTGTGTTATGTCCTGGACATAATTTGATAACGTAGATTCCTTTGTTCACAAGAAATTTTTTAAATGTTGTTATGTCCTGGACATAATTTGATAACGTAGATTCCTTTGTTCACAAGAAATTTTTTAAATGTATCTATTTATTTGTTTTTACCTCTGCAATCAGGGGGTATTTGGTATTACAATTCATATGAAAATATTTCCATGAGAATGTCAGCAATTTTGAAGTAATTAATGACTGTTCTTTGTTTTGCTGGACAAACCAAATGCTAGAGAATCATCACTCAATATTTTACTTTTAAATACATTTCCAAAATTTTCATGAAAATTAACATGAATCTGGAGAGGTGCTGCTTTAACCTACTGGCGATGAATGAATCTACCCGTGCAGACCAGTCTTATCATTGTACGCAGTTTGCTTGGTTATTAAGTCATTACATATTTTACTTCCCAAATTTGTCCCAATTAAGGGATGAACAAGTCCATTCAAGATATTTTGCATGGTAAGGGTTTGTTTGTTTGTTTGTATCATTTTACGCCTTTTCCCAAAAGTATTTCAGTCATATAGGCGGGTAGTTTCGTAACCATCGTTCCTGGAGAGTTACACCAGTACTAGACTACCTTCCTCCGTGCTAAACTACCAAAGCATCTCCCGGGGATCGAACCCACGCCAGAGAGGTTACTGGATTAGAAGTCATCGACTCTAACCCCTTGACCATGGTGGGGGTTTGCATGTTAAGGGTAAAAAGTGGTAAATCATGCGGAACTAGGGCTGTCATTGATGGAAAATTTTGTATCGATTTATCGAGAGACAAATATTGACGATATATCGACTGACAGTAGATACACTGAAAAGCATTTATGTATGTGTTATAAATTGGGATCAAGGTGTTATGCATGCTTGTATTGCACATTACAAATACTACAATACTAACAGAAAGTTTTTTTCTTCTTCTGTTATTCTTGCCACTGACATTTGAAAACAGAGTTAAAAGTTCATTTAGCCAAGAAAACTAGAAAAAAGAGACTTCTCTTATAATAAGCCAAAATAGAGAGTTGTATCAACAAAGAGAAATAAATTTTTTTAGCTTGTATCGATATGTGAAAGTGTGTATCGATATTGTATCGGATAATGAATATTGATGATATATCAATATCGCGATATTCAATGACAGCCCTATGCGAAACTAAATTAAACTGACTAACCAGAAGCTTCATTATAGTAGACGTTGATTCTCTCAAGTTGAAGGTCAGAATCCCCGTGGTATGTACCGGTGGGGTCAATTCCATGCTCATCTGAGATCACTTCCCAGAACTAGTTAGATAATTAATAAATAGAACAATGAATGTTATTGCAAATAGTGTTTCATTACCTGTCACTTCACAACATTAAACCTCGATTGGTTCAAGACTGAAGTATATGACCAATACATGTACCGTACTCCCCCGAAATCACTCTCCTGAACTGAAACATAAAGTAGTGATTAGTCGGCCGGTGCTCCAGACTCTAATAAGAGAAAGTGTTGGTGTTGATTTAGGATCAAAGACTTGGATAATGCATCTGTAGACTTGAAGAACTAAAATAAATCATGATATATAACAGTGATTTTTCTCACTTAATTGGGAAGAGGCCTTAGCCTAAAAATGTCGCCAAAATTGCTAGTTTGGGAAATAAAATTGCAGGTTTAAGTTCAGATTTTTGGGAAAATTGCACAAATTTAACGAAAATTTCAATTGGGAAGAGGATCTTTATCCAAGTCTGTTATGTAAGCAGAAAAATCACTGTTTATACACTGTTCATGACATATATTGACCACTAATTAAATGTATGGTTCCAAGGTTCAAAAACAGTAGTCTTTTATACTAAGACATACTGTTTGCCCTTGATTAAACAATACTCATTGTCTAAAAATAACCTAGCAACACACATGATATTTGCGGTGACCAACTAATGTGTAGTCACTTCTTAATTTAGCTATTACTTCATTCAAAGATATGACACATTCAAAGATATGACACATTGATGCCCTGTAAAAATATTAACCTTGAACTATTCATAAGTCAATACCGTAAAACCTCTAAAATTTTATTTTTGTGCCGTCTGAATTTTACATTCGTATAACTTGCTTGCAGATTTATATATTTTCGACAATTTTCATATTATATGTATACACATTATTTATTTTTTTTACCCATGAGACTGTCTGGTTTGGTTTAAACATATTTATTTAAGCTCGATTGCGAAACAAGTTCTTGCAACTTATATTAATAACTTCTGAGTCCGCTTCCTGGAACTAACCAGTCCTGCTGCTATATTAAGAAACATGGTCAAGACCTAATAGGACTTTAACCCATGATCCCTGGGTTGAGAGGCAGACACCTTAACCACTAGGCCACCGCTCCCGCTCTACACTTATATCCTAAAAGTATCTCTTCAAACTGTTAACTTTTAAGTAGTTTTTGATAATTAAGTGAAGATAAAAGTGTTGTTTCTCCTTAATTTAACACATTGATTAAATAAAGATCAACATATATCAAACACTGTCAAGAATTTTTTTTTTATTGTCCGACTTAAATGTCATCGATTTCATATTTTAATAACGAAGAGATCAAATTTTTTTACTGTAGAATGGAGATAATTTATCTTTAATGAATTATTTGGTTAAATCAGCAGCGATACCAATTGACAGCCTTGGAACTAAATTTAAACACTAACCAGAAAGCTTCATTAAGTAGGTGATTCAATCTCAAAGTTGAAGTAGATTCCCGGTAGTAGGTGGGCAATTCTTTGCTTCATCGAGATCACTCCCAGCAGGAAATTAAAAAAAGAAAAATTGTTTTCCAAAAGTTTCACCGCATCTAACAGTTAAACCCGATTGTTGGAAAATGACCAAACATTCACGCACTCATTCCTAAATCATTTTGAATGAAATCATTAAAAGTAGTGATGTTTGCAATAAAAGAAATGTGTTGGTGTTATTTATAAATTGATAATTTGTATAAAATAAAATAAATCATATAATTACATGATTTTTTATAATTTTTATTAATACTTACCGAGTATTCTAACAAAGACTTTTATAAAAAAGATTGTGATAAAAGGGCTTGAAAAATTTTGGCAGACATTAACCTGAGGCATTTCCCGTCAACTTAAACCCTAAAAGATTTTTGAATTAAACTTTTAGTGTTTTTGTATAATCATGGTAAAATGTGTTTTCCTTAATTTAAACTTTGATTAAATAAATAAATAAAAACATGTCATAATTTTAATTATTGTCCGACTTTTCTATTTCTTTTTAATAATAAATTTTATCAATTTCATGAGGGGTAATTGTCATAAACTATTAATTGGTCAATTCAGAGCTAGTTATAATTGCACGGTTTTTGGGCTTAATACAGCCGGAGGCCCATGTAGTTGTGCTTGGTTATCCCAAAATTTTTTAGTCCGAGTCAAGAGGGAAAATTAAAACTAGCGCAAAAAATTTTCTAGAACTTCCTGACTGAAAGGAATTGATGAAAAAAAAAATTGGGGACCACCATCCTACTTTTAGAGTTATGTTATTATAAAGCGACTTAAAAGAATAAAAAAAACACACTTTCTGTGGCAGACAATAATTATTCAACAAATAGTTTTGGTAAGTGGTAACTTCCACATTTAATAGTCAATTTTTTTTTAATTCAGTTATGATTTTCTAAAATCATTCTGTAAGAAAATTAGTGCTAGTTCAAATTTTTCTTCTCTGCCCAATTGCATAAATGCACTACTCCTGGAAAAGTCTGCAAGTGCTACCATCTGCTATATTATGTGAGAATGTTTCTCTCTACAGACAGATCATTGATCGTGCTCCAGAACATCTGCCAGTCACAGACATGTTTTACAGTTTTTAACAAAATCAGCAAAAATGCTACTGTAATCATTTGACATTTTGAATAAATTGACTCAGTTAATTATTAATAGATTTGTGTATGATATACTGATATAAACCAACTGTTGGTAAACAATATTATATTAAGCCTACAGTACATTATGCAATATAATAATAAGAGGTAATATTCATGGGGCTATACATTATAATATATTAAAATAAAGGAAAATAATTGAAAGACCCTCAGGTTATATCTATAACATTTTGTACAGAAAATAAAGATTTTTTTTTTCAATTTTATTTATTTATTTTTTTCATTTCTAATTTTACTTTTTTTGAATAGATGGATATTATATTGCATAAATAATACGATTAAACATACTTTAAGACTACCACCGTACAGTGAACTCGTTTCACCAGAGATTTAAATTCACCACGCAGACAATGGCGGGTACCACGCCTTAAAGAACGCTGAACAGCTGAAATACATAGGTTCATTTAAAAATCATCTTAACGAAATAAGAAGAAAAATCTATTAAATATCCTCTACGTAATAATAATACTGACCTTAGCTCCGATTTGATTTCCGCATTGTCCAGCTTGAAGATGTACGATTTCTCTCATAGTTGTTGTTTATCGTTGATATACTACGTCTTTATTCTTTAAAACCCTTCGTCCTTGTTGAGAGAGAGAGAGCGCAACCGTTATAATGAGTAATGCCTCGTCGGAAAGTGTAATCCTTCACCCATTGGCTGCAGCATTTTACATCAACAACTTCTTCCCAGTTTTCACTGTGTAGTTAAATGAGAGCCTCTTATTATTCGCGGAACCACGAATTGAATAGCGCGATTACCATAGTTGTTCAGTTGAAAATTCAAGTATTTTGTAATGGCGGGATTTTTTGTTTGTTTAGTTTCGTCATGGAGCTTGTGTTTTGTGTTTTCGTTTTGATTTTTGTTTTGTTTTTTTATGTTAAAAAAAACTAAAACGTGAATAATGCTCTATTACAAGTTATAAAAACTTCCATTTATGAAACATACTGCACGTTTGTAACGTCACTTTTCATTGGATAGTGACGTTTATATAGATCTCTCTAAAAGATCTCATTTTTTCTCGAAAAAAAAAGAAGTTTGCTGTATTATAAATTCGTTATAAATATTCCTGAAAGCGTCAACTGTTACCTTAATCTTAAAATTTATCTCGGTTCCAAGAGGCACATAGGACATGAAAGGCGTCAACTGTTCACATACTTAAAAAGGCATATTTAACCCATATAACCAAAGTCGCTAAAAGTCCTAGGACAATGGTTATATAGCAAACTGCCGCTTATTATGTTGCCATATAGGCATGACCTGTCTGAAGTTTTGAAGCTGCACCAAGCTGGTCTCCAAATGAGCGAAACTATTTCAAGAAAATCAAACTTGAGAAAAATGTAGAACTACTAATTAATATTTTAAGAAAAGTGAAAAGATTTAAGTAATAATTAACAAATTACAAGCGAGTGATGATTTTACAGTATTTATTACAATAAATTACTACTGCGTGACTAACGCAGTTAAGGTTTTTGTTTGCACATTTTGACATATTTCTTGAAATTTACGTGGATTGTAATGTGCCGCTTGTAATGTATAAATTATTTTCTTTGTTCACTTCACAATATTTTATTTTTTAAGAGTTTTAAAAATTTTCATTAAAATTAGCATGAATCTGCTGCCTTAATAGCAAGTTTATGCACAAATGTAATGCAAAATAATTCTGCAGCAGCCGTGTTTATAGATTATAAAAAGTTCGCAATGCGCCTAGATAATTCCAGACTGACTATAGACATTTTGCAGCAAGACTAGTGCCCTATGACACAACGATCAATACCAATAAATCTATTCTTGAATATTCCAAGGTTGAACAAATTAATCATAGATTCATGACAACGAACGGGTCCTGTATAATGACAGTATTTAATGACTTTTAATTTATGTATATTTAAATATTAATTACCCGTGTTACATTTTACAAAATTTAATGTTTCAACTTACCTTTTCTTGCCTTATTTCAGTAACTACTATATAGTAATTAGATTTCTATATAATTCAAACGTTTCTGTCAGATGCCTTTGTCAAGGCATAACATAACAAAAATTACCGGAAGCGACGTCATCACGGAACACGCGTTAAACGCGCGAAACACGTTGTGGCGTTTAGCGGCAAAAATGTTAGTAAATTATATAAATTTATGTTATGATGCTGGTAAACTAAAAAAAAAATGGACCAATAGTGAATCAAATGCCTCACAATACTTAAGGACATTTGGAGTCCTTATATTTAATTGATGGTTAACATAACTGTCCATGTTGTTACGGATAAATGGGAAAAGCTGACATTGAACAACTATTGATCTAAAATGCATGGATTGCAACATGTGGAATTATTTTTTATACCAAACCTATTTTTATTCATTTGTTACAGTATTAATCGGTTTACTAATTAGAAAAAAATGTTTAAACGACCAAATAGCTCAGTCGGTAAAGCCGTGGTATGGTATTCCAAGGGTCCAGGGTTCAAGTCACGCCAGTTTGTCTGTCCTGTAAGTGTTATATATATTCGAGTGTTTACGGTTTCTGTGATCACTAAATATTATTTTAAGACATCTTTTGATAGAAATTTTAAAGATTTTTTTTATTCAAATTATTCATAAACAAACTTTACATACATAACAAGAAACGTTAGCAAATATTTACTGAATAAGATAAAATTGAATCTACATAATTATATATTAAAAGTTCACTATTTATAAACCCGTAAATTAAAATAATAAACGTAATAAAAAAAGTGTATGCACGAGTTCTTGATTTTAAAATATACGTGCAGTAACCAATGCAAACTGCGCTCAATCAATCAATCAATCAATTCATAATTACAGTGAGTAGATTTCTCAATGCCTTAATCTCATCATTTTTTTATCTTATGATTGATAGATGGATAAACAAATCATTCAATAAATATTTATTATTTGTAGCTATGGAGTTCACCTATATTAATTTTGGATGTCTATAGTTCTAAAGTATATATTTTGCATTTGCTGTAGGGCGAAATAAAATATTATTTCAGAAAAAGATTAAGAAATATAGCCCAATATGAGGGAAATTGTTCACATGCAGATTGGTCAATGTGGTAACCAAATTGGAGCAAAGGTTAGTTTTCTTTCTTTCTTTCTTTCTTTCTTTCTTTCTTTCTTTCTTTCTTTCTTCTTGACACAAAATATGTAGAATAATATTAAAACAAATTCTTTACATAGTCCTAGAGGCTTATGGGTAACATATTATAAAGATCTGTTCATAGTTGGCGCCAGGTTGGTATATTCTTCAAGACAAAATAAATAATTTTATAATGCAGATATTTAGATATTTCATTATTCTAAATATTTGTAAGAGAGAATGGAAAAATATGTGAAAAAAAAAAATAAACAATTTAGGACTCAGATGATGGAGAGTGTTAATGTTTAATGACAAGTGTTTTATTTCCCCCGCACCCCGACCCCCCCCCGACCCCCCCAACACCGTCCCAACTGGTACTCAATTTTTCAACAACCTCGTAGATTTATTGGGGAGAAATATGCAATATTTGTTTTATGTATTTCAGTTCTGGGAAGTTATCTCAGATGAGCATGGAATTGACCCCACGGGTACATACCACGGGGATTCTGACCTTCAACTTGAGAGAATCAATGTCTACTATAACGAAGCTACCGGTGAGAAATTATTTAAAGTAAATGTAATATATGTATTATACATGCATTTCTACATTTTATTTAGTACTAGTACATGTAGTAACTTGGAACAGCATTTTACTGATATATATAGATACTAAGAATGATAATAACTTGATAATTATGGAAAATAGCTATAATGAATCTTTTGACTAAGATGGGATTATATAAACTCATTTTATTATTTTACTTAAGCACTTGTATTAAGCATGGATCAAATATGAGCAAAAATTTATAAATGTATATAGGGAAGTATTTTGAATTTAGTTTATATTAATTTTTGTAGGTGGTAAATATGTACCACGTGCAATTCTTGTTGACCTTGAGCCCGGAACCATGGACTCCGTGAGGTCTGGACCATTTGGTCAGATCTTCAGACCAGACAACTTTGTCTTCGGACAGAGTGGAGCTGGAAACAACTGGGCCAAAGGTCACTACACAGAGGGAGCTGAGCTGGTTGACTCAGTCATGGATGTTGTAAGAAAAGAATCAGAAAGCTGTGATTGCCTCCAGGGATTCCAACTCACACACTCCCTTGGTGGTGGGACCGGATCCGGACTTGGTACTCTGACCATCAGTAAAATCCGGGAGGAATACCCTGACAGAATCATGAACACTTTTTCTGTTGTTCCATCACCTAAGGTAACTTCTAAGCTCTGAAGTTCTGTTCTTTATATTTGGCTGAGATAAAAAAAAGAACATCAGTGCAGAATCAATATTTAAGATATTCTTACATTGCAAAGAAAGTACAAGCATATAGATTATATGTTACCATAGCTCCATCAACTAGACTGCTAGTAAATACCAATTATGGTCGACTAGAATAATATTTCTTTAATTGATTTCTTGCCCATGACAGTATCTCTTCTATATTTAACTGGAAATTAGCATTAGAAGTATTTTCAAACTATAGGTTGTTTACGGTGTTCCGTTAGGGCCAGCGCGTTTTCCCTGAGAACGGAAAGCGCGAAACATTCTGGCAGTACGACAGTACGATGGTGACAATACAACAGTACGATGGTGACAATACGACAGTACGGTGGAGAAACACGACAGTGCGATGGTGACAGTCCATTGTACTGTCGTACTCTCACCATCGTACTGTCGTACTGTCACCATTATTCTGTCGTATTGCCACCATCGTACTGTCGTACTGTTACCATCGTACTGTCGTATTGCCACCATCGTACTGTCGTATTACCACCATTGTACTGTCGTATTGTCACCATCGTACTGTCGTATTGTCACCATCGTACTGTCGTACTGTCACCATCGTACTGTCGTATCGTCACCATCGTACTGTCACCATCGTACTGTCGTATTGTCACCATCATACTGTCACCACCGTACTGTCGTATTGTCACTATCATACTGTCACCTTCCTGTCTAGCATGCGCAAACATTTCACTCAACATGGCTTGCGAAACCTAAAATTTTTACCAGCGTTTAACAAAAAAAATCTTTATCAAAGATCAACTATCAAGAAAATCGAAAGTTAACAGAATCAAAATCTATCTACATAATAAGAAACTTTATGACAAAAATATGTATGTACACCTGTGTCTTCATAATTTGTATTTCAACAGATATGTCTAATCAAGAACTTTTGTATTTGACTTATTTGTACAATATAGTTTTTTCTTATAAGACCTGGATTACTTTTATCAACTTAACCAATACGTACAAGAATTTACCTGTATGTTAGGCCATTGTTAAAATGAGACTTTATGATACGGTCAACGTTTTCTTACATGTTTTCATTTAATTATGCGCATGCCTAACAGGAAGACGACAGTACGATGGTGACAATACGACAGTATGATTTTGAATGTACGACAGTACGATGGTGCCAGTACGATGTTAAGAATTCGACAGTACGATAGTGACTGTAAGACGGTACGCTGGTGACTATATATACGACGGACTGTCACCATCGTGCTGTCGTGCTTCGCCATCGTACTGTCGTATTGTCACTATCGTACAGTCGCACTGTCACCATCGTACTGTCGTGTTTCGCGCTTTTCGTCGCGCTGGCCCTAACGGAACACCGTAGTTGTTTGAACGATTATTGATAATCGGTGAGATGTTCTGAATAAAACATGCGGTACATGAACATTGCAATTAACATCCAGCAACCTATTTTGATCATTATATCACTTTCTTTGACTTTAGTGACATTTTCTTTTTTGGGCGTTTATTCTCCTATGCCATCAGGTCAGAAATCATGAAACTTTCTTTAGGTTTCAGATACAGTTGTAGAACCTTACAATGCCACGCTATCAGTCCACCAACTTGTTGAAAACGCTGATGAATGTTACTGTATTGATAACGAGGCTCTGTATGATATCTGCTTTAGGACACTCAAGTTGACCACTCCTACATACGGTGACTTGAACCACCTTGTGTCTGCTACAATGTCTGGAATCACCACGTGTCTCCGATTTCCAGGTCAGTTGAATGCTGACCTTCGTAAATTGGCCGTCAACATGGTTCCCTTTCCGCGTCTTCACTTCTTTATGCCAGGTTTCTCACCACTTACATCACGTGGTAGTCAACAATACAGGGCACTCACTGTACCTGAACTTACTCAACAAATGTTTGATGCCAAGAACATGATGGCCGCTTGTGACCCACGTCATGGACGTTACTTGACAGTTGCTGCCATTTTCAGGGGGCGTATGTCCATGAAGGAGGTCGATGAACAGATGCTAAACGTCCAAAATAAGAACAGTAGCTACTTTGTGGAATGGATTCCTAATAACGTTAAGGTAGCTGTGTGCGATATCCCACCACGTGGTCTCAAAATGGCCGCCACCTTCATTGGCAACAGCACTGCCATCCAAGAATTGTTCAAGCGTATCTCTGAACAGTTCACTGCTATGTTCCGTCGTAAGGCTTTCTTACATTGGTATACCGGTGAGGGTATGGACGAGATGGAGTTTACCGAGGCAGAATCTAACATGAACGACTTGGTCTCTGAATACCAGCAGTACCAAGATGCCACAGCGGAAGAAGAGGGCGAGTTTGATGAGGAGGAGGAAGACGAAGAAGAAGAAGCTTAAATTTTATTACAGATAATAGATATTCTACTAGAAAATTCATATAACTATATGTACTTCTTAATTTTGAAAGGTTTAAAAAATTGACTAAAGACATGTCTATACTAATTGAATGACTGTTATCTTAGTATTTTTTGTATTCTTAACATATATTATTTCTCCATTTGATTTTTTCGTAGCAAAATACATGCATAAATAACAAACATTCGAAATGATAGCCTAACTCCAGAGAGAAGGGTTAAATTTATAGCAGTGTAGTTTGTAGAGAAACTTTGGCAACACATATCGACAATAAGTTGTTTTCTTTAAATCGCCACCAATAATTAGAGTTCTTCAGGTAGCCTAGTTTCCGCGTCATTCTGTCTTAGTTTCCGTGCCAATCTGTCTTAGTTTCCGTGCCAATCTGTCTTAGTTTCCGTGCCATTCTGTTTTAGTTTCCGTGCCAATCTGTCTTAGTTTCTGTGCCAATCTGTCTTAGTTTCCGTGCCATTCTGTTTTAGTTTCCGTGTTTATCTGTCTTAGTTTCCGTGCCATTCTGTTTTAGTTTCTGTGCCAATCTGTCTTAGTTTCTGTGCCAATCTGTTTTAGTTTCTGTGCCAATCTGTTTTAGTTTCCGTGCCAATCTGTCTTAGTTTCCGTGCCATTCTGTTTTAGTTTCCGTGTTTATCTGTCTTAGTTTCCGTGCCAATCTGTCTTAGTTTCTGTGCCAATCTGTCTTAGTTTCCGTGCCATTCTGTTTTAGTTTCCGTGTTTATCTGTCTTAGTTTCCGTGCCAATCTGTCTTAGTTTCTGTGCCAATCTGTCTTAGTTTCTGTGCCAATCTGTCTTAGTTTCTGTGCCAATCTGTCTTAGTTTCCGTGCCATTCTGTTTTAGTTTCCGTGTTTATCTGTCTTAGTTTCCGTGCCAATCTGTCTTAGTTTTTTGTGCCAATTTGTCTTAGCTTCCATGCCATTCTGTCTTAGTTTCCGCGCCATTCTGTTTTAGTTTCCGTGCCATTCTGTTTTAGTTTCCGTGTTTATCTGTCTTAGTTTCCGTGCCAATCTGTCTTAGTTTCTGTGCCAATCTGTCTTAGTTTCCGTGCCATTCTGTTTTAGTTTCCGTGTTTATCTGTCTTAGTTTCCGTGCCAATCTGTCTTAGTTTCTGTGCCAATCTGTCTTAGTTTCCGTGCCATTCTGTTTTAGTTTCCGTGTTTATCTGTCTTAGTTTCCGTGCCATTCTGTTTTAGTTTCTGTGCCAATCTGTCTTAGTTTCTGTGCCAATCTGTTTTAGTTTCTGTGCCAATCTGTTTTAGTTTTCGTGCCAATCTGTCTTAGTTTCCGTGCCATTCTGTTTTAGTTTCCGTGTTTATCTGTCTTAGTTTCCGTGCCAATCTGTCTTAGTTTCTGTGCCAATCTGTCTTAGTTTCAGTGCCATTCTGTTTTAGTTTCCGTGTTTATCTGTCTTAGTTTCCGTGCCAATCTGTCTTAGTTTCTGTGCCAATCTGTCTTAGTTTCCGTGCCATTCTGTTTTAGTTTCCGTGTTTATCTGTCTTAGTTTCCGTGCCAATCTGTCTTAGTTTCTGTGCCAATCTGTCTTAGTTTCTGTGCCAATCTGTCTTAGTTTCTGTGCCAATCTGTCTTAGTTTCCGTGCCATTCTGTTTTAGTTTCCGTGTTTATCTGTCTTAGTTTCCGTGCCAATCTGTCTTAGTTTCTGTGCCAATCTGTCTTAGTTTCTGTGCCAATCTGTCTTAGTTTCTGTGCCAATCTGTCTTAGTTTCTGTGCCAATCTGTCTTAGTTTCTGTGCCAATCTGTCTTAGTTTCCGTGCCATTCTGTTTTAGTTTCCGTGTTTATCTGTCTTAGTTTCCGTGCCAATCTGTCTTAGTTTTTTGTGCCAATTTGTCTTAGCTTCCATGCCATTCTGTCTTAGGTTCCGCGCCATTCTGTTTTAGTTTCCGCGCCATTCTGTTTTAGTTTCCGTGCCGTTCTGTCATAGTTTCAGTGTCATTCTGTTTTAGTTTCCGTGCCATTCTGTCTTAGTTTCCGTGGTATTCTGTCTTAGTTTCCGTGGCATTTTGTCTAAGGATATTTAGTCTTCGTACAATGGTTAATTTGTAGCTTTTGTATTTTTCATTGTTTAAAAGTACATGTATATATATAGTGTTATAGTTATATAAAGGGTGTATGTAGCTAGTGTAGCTAGTGCGTGTTCTTAATTTAGTGATTTAGGTATTTCATATATATAATGTTTACACCCGTCCTTCATGTGTGTGTGTTTGTGTGTGGGGGGGGGGGCAAATATTTTGGCTGTTGATTATGGGTGTTGCTCTAGAAAGGTTAAATTCAGTGATAAATATTAATTTGGGAACATTTGATTATGTCGTTGTTTAAAAGTTATTGCTCTACAGGAAACCGCTCTGCAGGGGTTTCACTGTAGTTATTTTAGTCTTATACATGTATATTACTTTCGTTATGTACAGTTTGTAGTAATTATAAAATCTTACCAGGTAAACATCTTATTCGCAATAAACAAGCAAATATTATTTGAAGTTAATGCACATCGTATTTGTTAATATAAAACATTTACTTTATAAAATCTATATAGTGTTAATCATTATGAATGATTACTTTTGTATCCAGGGGAAAAAACTCAAAAGGGCATAAATATGTACATTTCTCTTCAGAAATTAATATATTTTTTCTTTCGTTTGGATGGGATAAAAATGAGTTTTATAATATTCAAATGAAAGTTTTAGAGCATGTTAGATGTTTATCATCTGAAGACAGTATAGTGCTGAATGAGAAATTATTTGACTTCCATACTAAATCAATATAAGTGCACTTATTGCCAATATGCAAGAAGCAATAAATGACCAATGAGTTTTTTTTTTGAAAACTATATTACAGTATATCAAATATAAAAAAAGGATTTTGAGAAATAAAAATAGCAGTATTACTGGGGTATAAAAGGCATTGAAATAAACATCTAAAATCGAGTATAGACTAATGAACTCCCGGAATTAAAGACCCCCGCCTTGCGGTGAGAGGCAAAATGGTCATGCATAAGCATGACAATTGCCCACGTGATTGAAGACGTACGTATCCCCCGCTATTTGTTTGCGCCAAAATATAACTGCTGCATTGAATTAAAATGTCAGGACTCTCACGTAAAAGATCCAGAGTTCGAGCCTATTGGGGTCACGATCCTGTTTCCTCTGATGATACCGGAAGTTCAAGGAAGGAAACTTGAGAGCGGTCAAATAAGTAAAGCGGTTTTCTTCACTTATTTAACTAGCTTAATAACATTGAAACAAAATTTATTGACCGTATCATTTGACTTCCAGGGTCCGTTGATTTAATCTCAAATAACATAAATTTATTAAGTTCTTTCCTTTTTTACTCTTTTTGTTTCAAGCAAAGCATAAATGAGTTTGCAGATATAGTGATTCAGTATCATAAATAATTTCATTTATTAAAAAAGAAAATGTTTGATATTTAATATCTGACCTTAACAAATCTTTAAAATTATAGAGGGAAATGTTTTTTGCCTGCGTATTATTCTTGTTAAAGCAAGTTAATTACACCTACTAAACGGTAGCTCTCATCATGCACATTTTAAAGATCAGTTTAAACTAGAACTGCCACTATCATGGCGTGAATACCCCCGCATACTACTTTGTCAGAATCAACAGTGGCCATTTAAAGCTCAAGGACAACCTCCCTGTCAAATCTGAGGATACTAAGCCAGTGCATTGCTAAGTTATGTATTCTACATGCTTCAAATGTGAAAATGTCAAAAACAATACACTGCAGACAGGCATTCTTAAGCAATTGAGGGGAAAAGCTTTTTTTTGTCAAGGTCCCTGTGACCTTGACCTTTGACCCAGTGACCTCAAAATCAATAGGGGTCATCTACTAATCATGACTAACCTCCATGCCAAATATGAAGACTGTAGGTCAAAGGCATCTTAAGTTATTGGGCGGACAAGCTTTTTGAAGTCAAGGCTCCTGTGACCTTGACCTTTGACCTGGTGACCTCAAAGTCAATAGGGGTCATCTACTAATCATGACTAACCTCAATGTCAAATATGAAGACTATGGGTCAAAGCAATCTTAAGTTATTGGGCGGACAAGCTTTTTGAAGTCAAGGCCCCTGTGACCTTGACCTTTGACCTGGTGACCTCAAAATCAATAGGGGTCATCTACTAATCATGACTAACCTCCATGCCAAATATGAAGACTGTAGGTTAAAGGCATCTTAAGTTATTGGGCGGACAAGCTTTTTTAAGTCAAGGCCCCTGTGACCTTGACCTTTGACCTGATGACCTCAAAATCAATAGGGGTCATCTACTAATCATGACTAACCTCCATGCCAAATATGAAGACTGTAGGTCAAAGGCATCTTAAGTTATTGGGCGGACAAGCTTTTTGAAGTCAAGGTCCCTGTGACCTTTGACCTCAAAATCAATAGGGGTCATCTACTAATCATGACTAATCTCCATGCTAAATATGAAGACTGTGGGTCAAAGGCATCTTGACCGCCTCCGTGGTCGAGGGGTTAGAGTCGATGACTTCTAATCCAGTTACCTCTCTGGCGTGGGTTCGATCCCCGGGAGATGCTTTGGTAGTTTAGCGCGGAGGAAGGTAGTCTAGTACTGGTGTAACTCTCCAGGAACGATGGTTAGGAAACTACCCGCCTATATGACTGAAATACTGTTGAAAAAAGGCGTAAAATGAAGCAAACAAACAAACAAACAAACAAACAAAGGCATCTTAAGTTATTGGTCGGACAAGAAAACACCGACGGACGGCCGGACAGCCGGACGTCCGGACGGCCAAGCTGATTCCAGTATACCCCCTTACAACTTTGTTGTGCGGGGGTATAAATAGAGCCCTTGATACTTATTTTATGCCATATTTTCTAGAAACGTCATCATTTACTATTTAGTATCGAAATTACATCCGACATGAGAGTATAGATGTTCTACGTGGCGTAGCATTCTTCGATTTTTGCATATTCTTTCAAATCGGATATTTTAATAAAATGTCTTTTTTCAGCTTTGTTTTAGCTGAGAGTTCTACAACTGAAAACTTATTGTCGATGGCTCTAATTTAAGCGGATCACTAAAATGTTGAGCCACCGTAAGTTGAACTAGTGAACATACTCTTCATTAGATTGATGTTTAGGAATATGCAAAATCTCTCACTGGTCTTCATCACTATGTGATTTTTTAAAAATCAGTTTCCTTCAATTTATTCTCCGAACAAGTAGACGGACAAGACGTAGGCTTTACATGCTTCCACCCTATGGAGAACATGTACATTAGTATGTATTCATGTATAACAGACCGCAGAAGACTAGCTAAATTATGAGTTTTCAGTTTTGCTTTGTTCTTTGAGTCATATTTTACGCAACACACATTACTTTCAGTATATTTT